CTTCCATCCAATTCTCTGCAGTCGAGCTGCATGTTGAAGTTCCTGAGGTGCTTCAAGGTGAACATGTTCTGGCGCGGCATCTTGAGCTGGTGAGCCCCGAATAATGCATTTCTTCCCGCAAAGGGCATGGGAACTCAGTTGTCCCCTGGTTTCGGTGAACATTTGGGTTGCCCCCGCCCCCGCCCCCCCCCCAAAGTCCTCTCTAAGCCACATTCATTCAAGGATTTCCACCGGGGTAATCAACCACCAAATCAAAGCCCAAAGGGTTTGTGCGGCGGATGTAACCTTGATTTAGCTCCTAGATAGAGAGCTTGTACAGTGTTTGCTCTTGGCTGGCTTGATTTGCAGGCTTTAGAGTCAAGCACACCATGTTCAACGGCAACCTCGTTGCCAAGGGGATGCCGCATGTCTGAATCTATATATTGCCCGTCACAGGGGGTCCTACTCATCACCAAGGTGAGCCACAAACAGCACTCCCATCCGAAATAAACACATTCATTTTGTCCCTTCTTGTCAACTGGAGCCTTGGGGCACAATGATGTGCGGAACGCCCGCTAAGTCTATGATTCTGCGCAACCCCACACGTTTTGTTTCAACCATCACAAGCTGCAGCTGACATTTGCTCACAGGTCAGGTGCCATTCAAATGAAACCCGACGTGTTGAACTCCTGAGGTCGGGCCAAAGCAAGCTCACACCTGCATTTCCCGGCAAGCTCCAAAGCTGGGAAACTGATCTGAAGACTCAGGCCAAGGTTGAAAGCAACTAGACCCCGAACCCGCCCAGCCGGGAAAGGCAAAGCCGCCTGAAATAAGACCCGCAAAGCATTCATATCCGAATCCGAACTCGTGGTAAAGGAAAGGGCAAACCTGCGCTTCATGCCAGGCATACAGCATGTCCGACCGTCGTTGAATCTGGTGTCGAAAAAAGGAGGAACCCCATTAATTAGACTAACCAGAAAGCGTACCCTCCCAGCAACACAACCCCATGCGGCTCTTTAGTGTTCGGCAGGACAGGCGGCAGCGCACGGTTCGACGCCGTTTTCCGCCCCTTTTCCGCGGAAGCAGTCGTTAGCCGTTCTCTCCGACCTACAGTTTTGTGCATCAAGCAGGAGGCTGGCTGGGACTGGCAAGCTGATGAGAAAAGAAAGCTGCAACATTAACTGGGCTGTTCTCAGATCCCCCGCTAAAAGTTTAACTTTTAGTGGGTTGAATGGAAATCCCCGCTAAACACTACAAAGCTAAAAGGCTAAAGGGATGACTGGGAGACTATCTCAGCTTTTAGCTCCCAACCAGAAATATGAACTTGGACCATACGCAGTGAACCTTCCATTGTGATATCTTCCTGTTACTCAAAACTGCAGCATATTCATATATTCTGTTGTTCAGACCCCAAACCTCCCAATACTAAATTACAGTCAGCCAACACTCAACTAATTCAGCAAGTTTCCGGCCGACCCCAACTCCATGAGAACCAGTACAGGACCAACACTGAACTAATACTAAGCCAGTAGGAAGCCAATACCTAAATTGAGAATGAAACAATTTCAAACAGCTTCGAAACTAGAACAAATCCCTGATGCAAAGGAAAGCAGTGGCACCTGCGGCACAAACGTTCCGTACTACTAAATATCGTTCCGCCCCGGGGCGAATATGTTTTTATAGGGGGGAAATGATTCATCTCTTCCGAACATTGCTCTTTCTATTGGGGCTTGTCACAAGCCTTTTGTTCTAGCTCAACAAAGGGAATTCATCACCATCCCACGAATTTCTGCAAGCCACGTGAGGATGGTTTGTTCAGGGGGAACAAAAGGGTCGCAGTGCCTCCTGGTACTTCAGCTTTAGTTCCGGGAACTTGGAGCAATTCATGGACACATAGAGGCCCGCTGGTGCAGGGGTTGCATGCCTTTGGGCCTTTGGGGGGGAGGGTTATACACGAAAACAATTTATTTTTTACCTTCGGGACTGCGTTGTAACTATGCATTCGATCTGTGATCCTGGGAAGTGCCACGTCTATGATACCACCGGAAGGCGTTCCCGATAACTGATAACTAGCAAGTGTATTCTCAACAGGAGCTTGCAGGCCGAAGTGGAAAGTACTCCCCGCCATCGTGGTGGATGCTCAACCCTAGACTTAGGATTTTAGATGCTTTTAGTATTGTACGTCATGAACTGAAGTACACTATGTAAGATGTCACCCAACGTTGCCCCAGTCATTCCCACAGTTGCCCCATGACCGTGAACCTCCGCTGCCCACCCCATCCACACGCCCGCTGCGAGCAGACGTCACCGGCTGGGCAAATTGGAGTCCAGTCAGGGGTTTGCCAGTTGGTCACCTTTTCCAGTTGAAACGATTGCCATTTGGCCAGCGTCTCCAACATCCTGCCTTTTGACCACCTTTCGGTTAAGTTAAAATGATCAAGTGGATGCCCCTATGGTGTCTCCGAGGTTAAAATGATCAAGCGGATGCCGCTATGGTGTCTCCGAGGTTAAAATGATCAAGTGGATGCCCCTATGGTGTCTCCGAGGTTAAAATGAACAAGCGGATGCCCCTATGGTGTCTCCGAGGTTAAAATGATCAAGTGGATGCCCCTATGGTGTCTCTGACTTTGTGTCCGGGAAGCGTAGAAAGGCGGCCCCTGAAAACAAACGACAGAACCGGGCCGGACTTGCCCTGCAAAAGCCTGCTTTAGGTCCTCCAGTAGAGAGGGTAGAATAAAGTACCGTTTTTCTGTAGTCTATGTTAGTTGGGGAACCCACCCAAAAAAAGGGTAAAATTGCACTACTGGGGGACCACGTGCTGCTCGTCAGTGGAATGATGGAAAACCAAAATGGCAACAAACAAACATGCGAGCTAAGTCTGACCCTGACCCAGCAACATGCCAAAGGATAAAACCCGACTTGAGACTAGATGCTGGTCACGGACGCCTACGCTGGGCAGGCACATACGGTAATCCAGAAAACCTGATGATTGGAGTTGGGGCTCTTTACTGTTAATCTTAACATACAGCAAGTCCTATTAGTTACTTCACTGGCCACCGAAGGCATGCAATCGTAACTCTTCCCTGGACCACGCACGTCTGAGCCATGGCTGAATGGGGTACACACGGTTCAGTCCCTTAAGAAAGACATGGGCCAGTGCTGTATGCTGTACCCCCCCCCGCAAACCTTAATCCACTGAGACTGAAATGCTGTCCAAAGCCAGACATGACATGGACACTCCGTGGGTTTCTGACAAGTCTTCCCATGACAGGCTTCCAAGACAAGGATGGATTGAGAGGCAAAAGCCTCTTCCCATGGCTGTCAAAGGCCGCCCAATACGCCAAAGAGGTCCGATTGCAGACCCTACATTCGTTTGAACGCCCCTAGGGCCCGACATCAGGCGCTGACAATTTGGCTCAGGCGATTCTGGGGCGCGGCTCCTCGACAATCATGGGACCTCGTGACAAAAGCTCGAACTTTGGTCACTGGCGGCAGGGAAAAAGAAGCGCTCCGCTGTGGCTGGCAATCGTAGGTGTGTCAGAAAATGTCCAGATCCCTTTTGGATAGTTCAGGGGAAGGCCACCGGCACACTAGCCATCAGGAGTCTCGTTTTTTGTTTGAGCTGTTCGCTTCGCTTTCTGGGTGAACTTGCGCTTGAAGGTTGGGGAGGTTGTAAGGCCACGCGCGTGCAAACAGTAACGAACTCAATTTGGTGGGTGGGTGGTGCTGTTGAAGGATTCAAAGGCAAGGGACAAAGGCAGATACCCCTTAGGCATCCTCCACTTAGGAGACAATTACATGGTCCACCCAAAAACCTACCTATGACACCGCTTGATAACACCAGCTTGGACATTGCCCGGACATTGCCCCATTTATTAGGGGGTGCATGTTCTTTCTCTTTCTTTTAAAGAAGCAATGTGCGTGTGTTGTCTCGTCTTGTTCGTTGCTTCTTCGGAGGACGCGGAGTAATGTCCGGGACCCTGTGGAAAACTTCCTATGGGTGTGGCTCAAAATTACACAGGAGGGGCAAACCGCAGGTTTTGGTCTATGTTTGTGGAAGTCGAAGCTGGTCGAAGCGGAGTTGGAGTCGGCTGAGCCAGTGTCGCAAGCCCCGTTTTCAGCTTTGCGCTTCTAAAAATCCCGGGGTCCCCGCGAGGGGGCAAACACATGATAAGAACAAAGGGCGCCACTTAGGGGAAGCAAAGGAAAACCTATCCTCATGAGTCACAATCAAAAACCCGGTATCAAAATAAAATGGTCTACCCAGAACCATGTAAAGAATTGAGAAGGCGGCCGCAGCTATTTATGGCTGGCATTGGCCCTTACTACCCTTCATCTACCCGGGTTTTGATTGTGGCTCACATGGGTTCGCTGTATGAGCCACCAATTCTGCAGTGCCGCTAAATATTGATCTTGGAGCTGCTTCTTGCCGCTCATCGCCCGTCAACGCCATTGGCGTGGGGGTTGAGGGCAACTCTTTCACCGAGGCCTGAGATCCACCGATCGCCAAGTGGCCTTCGATGGGTGGATTCAGGCGATTTAATTTTGGCCTCACCAGCAATGGCCTCCAAAAGGGCTCGGGTACCAGTGGTGTGTGCACCCAGTCAATCCTCAAGAAATATCTTAACACTTACCCTCCCTTCCACTAACATGGCACCTGACAGAGGGTCCCTTGCAAAAGAAATCCAATTGCAATTGAAGCAGAGCCCCATGTCCGCTTGCCACTCACAAGGCTTGGCTATTGAACGGGGTGCAAAGACTTCACAGATTCGGCCAAAGCTCCCTTGGGAGCTTGGTCCAGCCGCCACTCTGAGCGGAAGACATGCACGGTTTCCCCTTGCTCGCGCTGAAACTGGACACGCGCCAGCTATAGCAAGGATTTGCCTCCCACACGGATGGCTGAATACAGACTGAGATGAAAGCGCCCAAGTTCAATGCGGAGCTGAGGCGATGCTTGGCTGCATGCTGTCATCCAGAACAGCCAACGCAACAAAAGGACAAAACCAAGTCCGAAAAACGGATCACTCCGAGCACTTCACTGACCGCAAGCGCTGCCACTTGCCTCTGCTCAAGGAATATGTCCGCACTTCACCTGGCATGCGGACAAAGATTGCAAGCACACACACGATACGCCCATCCGACTGGAAAGAAGAAAGGTTGGGAGCCCTTTGTCCCTTGTTACGGCTTGATTGGGTGCGCCCCGCCCCTCCCATACAGCACTTACATAGGGATGCAGGCACATGACAATTCACAAACCGGGAATGAGTCACCAGCATCTGGTATTGAACTGGTCTCCCCAGAACGATGTAAAGAAATACAAAGGCGGCTGCACCCATTTTATGGTCGGGGTTATCCCTAAGCAACCGTGACAAGCTTCCCGTTGAACAAATTTGCTCTGAAATTCCGCTCGCGGGATTTTGAGCTCGAATGAAAGCAGCTTCAAACACCATACCCTGGCCACCTTCGGGGAACAAAAAAAAGGAGGTTGCTTGAAACATTGGTGCCTAACCACCTTTAACAGTGATCTGGCCGAAGGGAAACCGAAGAACGCCAAAACCAAAGTTCCCGTGGAGGTTTGTTCATATTTTGAGCAAATTTATGTAGGAAACACGGGGTGCGAAGAACCCAAAGTGTGCCGATTCAAACAAGACGTTCCCACGGGAACTCATGCTCAATGGTCGACAAGATAAATCTTGAATCTCCAGAAAATGTGTGTGTCTTCTTTTTCTTGGTTGGGTTGGTTTCAAGGGAAACCAAGGGGCAAACCCACCATTATTTGCGTCCCCCAGTCCATATATGGGCCCGAGACTGATTCTGGTCCTCCGACGGCCGCCCAAGTATGCCCAAGTAGATGGTCGAGGTCGCGTGATGACTTGGACTGGTCACAAAGGTTTACAGGGACTTGACTGGGGCCTTGCTAGCTACCGCCATCTCCACCCCTTACCGTCGAAGTAGACTGTGAGGTTCACACCAACACCCGGCCGGGCGACGTTCACGTATGATTTGAGTGGACACCCAGACACCCATAGACACACACCTGGAGCCTACCCGCAAAAAGCGCCGAGCTGACAATTGTCCATGTACTTGTCGCCAGTCAGCTTTTCCAGGAACTCGCCATGAGAGACCTCAGTGCCGGATGATTGGAAAAAGGTTTCTTAGCATTTGGACTTGACGTGTGAGATAGCTATCCGATCACAAGTTAGACCGGGTCAACGAAGCAAAGCTTAGCCACAGACCAACAGCAGCCGTCCTTCTGGTTGGCGTTCGAGGTACTTAGTTAGCCGCCGGGCCCGCTCCTGTCAAGTGCGCTGGTCCAAACTTGCTCTCAAGCGAAGGCTGTGTTCGTTGTACAGTACCGCAAGCATGTGAGGTTTGTGAAAGCCCTGGCAGGCAAGACTGCTTTATGAACACAAGAATTGATAGAGGCCGGCCCCGTATGAGATTTGGTTCGGAACAACCCCCAGTAGAGTGGGAATATAAAGGAAATCATGTCTTGGAAACACCAGGGTGGGCACATCAGTTGCTTGAAACGAGTGGTCCCAGCGACGCAGCAAGACAAACATACGAGACACCCACACAGAAATGAAGACACACAGAATTGAGTCAGCATAGAATTAAATGACGACAAGCTAGTGACAGAAGTATGACACACGACAACACACGAAGGCATATCTAGATAAATAATCAATGACGATAGACAAAAGGACTACACAATAAATCAATACACACATAACCAAAAAAACAGTCCCTACCTTAAAGCACATTCATAAAGCTAAGCAACAAACAAAACAGACAGACAGACAGACAAACAAACAAACAAACAACCGAAGAAGCAAGCAAGCAAACGACTAAAGAGCACAAATATAATATGGTATTCTGTGAGGAAACAGGACATCCACTTTCGACCATTTTCCTCCAGAAGGGACCGCGCCTCTGGCAGTCTGATATGTTCCAATCATGTGTATTCACTACGAAACTAGGCCCTCCAGAGGTTAGACCCATGTTTTTCCTTTACTCTAGTGGGGTTGAACCCTTCTAACCAAAAATGGGGTTGAACCCTCCCAACCAAAAAAAAACGGTAAAAGAATCGGCGCCAAGGCGCCAAGTGCTGGGGGACCTAGGAAAGCAAAGCCATGTGCAAACACGAGCGCCCTTCCGCGCCCCAAAGCCAAGCCTTCACCTCCGAGGTCTTCTCCCAGCGGTTCCGCGGTCCTCGCAACCCCTGAAGCCCGAAGCCAGCCGAAGCCGCGGGCCGCGGGGGTCGCTCATTTGGCCGTGGGTCAAAATCCACCAATCCAACCACTAAAATGGGTTCCTTTCATGGGAGGTGAATTCACCTACCCCAAAATGGGGACCCCATTGGTTTTGACCCACAGCCATTTGCCATGGAAACATGAAAGGCTGGTTAAACTGGGGGAAAGATGGGAGAGTCATCTTTCCCTCATTTTTGAGGCTTTCAGCAGATTGCATACTCATGTGAGGAAAACTTGGCAATTCGCCCAGAGGCTCTGAGGGGGATCTTGTCTTGTGTTGTTTCTTTTTTCGGGGGGATGTTGGCTAGAACTATCGATCCCTGTGCTAGTCCCTTATACGGAAAACATCACATCCAATGTGAATTCTGATAACTGTATAGCACCTAACAAACATCCAACTGCAAGCCATGGAAAACTACACGGTTTTCAACTTGACCCCTGCTTTTCCCGTTTGGGGACCCCCTGGTGGACATGGTTTAGGGGATTGACGTCCACCATCCACTTTTGGGGGGTTCGGTCAGGGCATCCGAAGAAAATTTATGTCCCGACTTGATGAGCGCATGGCGTCATGGGCAGCGAAAAGGGGTCTGGCACCGATGAAAATCCATGCTCCTTGGGTTCCTTGAGGGGCATGCTATGATTTTGCTCCCAGTAAGGTCCCGAATGGGCCGTTTTCTTCCGGACTTGCCAGCAACACAACCCAGAGAAGGGGAAAACTCGCAAGCCACATATACATGGTACAGCAGATTGAATCAACAGCCGAACTTCGAAATTACGGAGCCCGAACCTCAAGGATTTTCCAACAAGTGCCTGTGGCTCAAACTGGGCCAAAAGTTCCAGAGACGTTCCACTTCTTCGCCATTCTGAAGTTGGGAAGTCGGCATTTGGCCCAACCCCCTTTCTCATGGAGAGCAGCAACTTCCCATGGATCTATGCCACTGGATCAAGGCTAGCCACGGGCAAGCCGTTTTCCTTTTGGAATCCCTTGGTTACGTACAAGCAGGTATACTTGTTCATATAAGCCATGCAACAACCTCTATGAAGTCCAACCTTTGCAACAAGGAGTTGGGCACTCAGAGTTGCTGCTTTGGGTTCAAGGTCAACTGAGTTTATCCTTCCTCCAACGAACATAACATTTCTGGGGGGAGACCTAGGAAAAATCAAATTCTTCTTCTAGTGCCATGTTGGTGGGAGGAAGGGTAGTGGTTTGCTTCAGGACCAATAGGCTGTCGACTCTTTGCTGTCCGCAAGCAGCGCATGGAGACCAGTCGTAGCGGCCAAAGCGGGACCTGGATTGGTAGGAGCGTTGGACCCTCCAACTTACTCCCCATGTGCGTGTGTGTGTGTGTGTGGGTGGGCGGGTGTGTGTGTGTGTGTGTTTTGTAGTCGCCCCTTTTTGATTGGCTTTGCAGGAAAACCACAAGGAAGCCCCCTAAACGACACACCCGTGTGGCTCTGGGGAATCCACCAATCACATCGCAGGGATTTTTCATCCGATGAAACTTCGTCAGCACTAAGGCAGTCAACAGGCAATATAGCAGAACAACATAACACTCCACACGGCTTCACCCTGATTGTGAGACTATCAAGGGACACCCTTCGAAAGGGCTTGAAGTGGCCATATCAAGAAGGTCATATCTACATATTGTAAATATATAGTGTATACCTAGAAAACCCGGAGTGGCGAATTTCCGCTTTCTGCCGTAACTACATACATTTTAGTCGTTTCCATCAAAAAAACACATTTTCCTTCAAAAAGCGCCTTTGGGACACCTGCCTAGAACAGGGTTCGGCAAAAAACACCTTTGTATCGCCAAAAAACGCTTTTGTATCGAGAAAAACGCCTCTGCCAGTGTGCTGCATACATCTAAAAAGCAAAACTCAGGAAAATTGCCTCCAGGCAATAGCAGTTTCCCACGAAAAGGCAGAAAAAACGGACTTAGGAAGATCCTACATTTATGCATATACATAACCTATCTATAGGGTGATGAGTTTATGTACTTGAAGCTTTCAACATTTTAGACAAAACTGGCTTGCAGCGCGGGAAACAAGCCAGAATGAGTATTTGACGAAACGTTCCGGGATATAAACACAAATTGGGTTTGCATTTCCGCCAGATTTCGGCTTTTGTGCTCGCACCCTCCCACTCGAGCACGATCCGAGGGATTTCCGGTCCTTTTTGAACATGCTGCAGGGCGACGGCTTGGTTTAAAAGCGAGTCGAGGGTCGGCCGACTCAGGCACTTCCCCCCTTTTAATCTCACGGCTTGGCCAGATAAGAAGGCTGTCCTATTCAGAGGGGGCCTGCTAACCTGGGCTTGGCCAGGACTCCGGGGTCTCACCTTGCTTGCAGGCATTGAGGGAGTCATCGCATGCAAGTATATGAATGCTGACACATGCCCAGAGGGTCCAAGTACCTAAGGATGTACATAGACCCCCTATTAAAACCCCCCAAAAGCCATCCTCAGGAGGTACCAAGGGACCGTCTGGGATGGTGTGGCTCCTGATTACGCAGGTTTTGGTCTATGTCTCCACTTACCAGGGCAACCCATTTTGGAATTCCGGTTTGTTGAGCCACAGCCATATGAATGCTGATACATGGTATACAAAGGACAATCATTTGAAAAGGACACCGAAACTGGGCGAGTGGCTCCAGATCCCCGGCCAAGGCCCGGCGGGTCTCCACAGGCTCGTTGGCGGGCCAGCCACCCACCTCCCGCGCCTCCGGCTAGGCAGCCACAGGTGGGCGCTGGATATGGGGCTTGGGGGTTGATGGAGTTTTCTGCTGGATTCAGGTCAAGGCTTGTGCAAGGCTTGGGGTGCAAGGAGTTCAGGGTTCAAATTGGTGGAGAGGGTTTGCCTCACTTGGGGGAAATAGGTGGGGATGAAAACCTTCACCAGCGAGGCGCTTGTTGCTCCACCGCCATTTTTTGAAGAATAGTTGGTCGCCTTTCCCTCAATGCTGAGAAGTGGTCGAGTCCTTTTGACACATACCCCGCCAGAAGCTCAGGGTCAGGAGCGGCATGAGGACTCTACCTCTCAAAGGTGGCCAGAACTCTTCCAAAACCCCTCTAAGAAGCTTCCTTCCGGACCGTTACCTTGAAAACGAGTCTCACCATTACAGGACTTTCTGTCTGTGTGTCTGTGTCTGCATGCTTCTTTGTTAGTATGGTTTGCTTGATTGCTTCTGTATATGTATTCGTGTGTGTATAATAATATGTGTTCGTCTGTGTGTGTGTGTGTGTGTTTGGGTGTGTTTGGGTGTGTTTGTGTGTTTGTGTGCGTGTGCGTGTGCGTGTGCGTGTGCGTGTGCGTGTGCGTGTGCGTGTGCGTGTGTGTGTGTGTGTGTGTGTGTGGGTGCGTGCGCGCGCGCGTGCGAGCGTGCGTGCGTGCGTGCGTGCGTGCGTGCGTGGGTGCGTGCGTGCGTGCGTGCGTGCGTGCGTGCGTGGGTGGGTGGGTGGGTGGGTGGGTGGGTGGGTGGGTGGGTGGGTGGGTGTGTGTATGTGTGTGTGTGTGTTTGTGTGTGTGTGATTGAATGGTCGATAGATTGTTTGTGTGTTTGCTTGTTTGTTTGCTTGCTTGCTTGCTTGATTGATTGATTGATTGATTGATTGATTGATTGTTTTTGGAAGTTTGGGTTTGGTTGGTTGCTTGCTCGCTTGCTCCTTTGTTTCTCGGTGCTTCTTTGCTTGTGTGTTTGTTTGTTTGCTTGCTTGATTGATGCCTTGTTTGCTTGTTTGTTTGTCTGGTTGTCTGATTGTGTTTTGGATTATGTGTGTGTGGGTGTTGTCCGTCTGTCTATCTCTGGCTGTCTCAGTCTGTCTCCGCCATTGTTTGTCTGTCTCTGTCTGTCTCTGTCCGTCTGTCTGTCTGTCTGTCTCTATCTGTCTGTCTGTCTGTCTCTGTCTGTCTGTCTGTCTCTGTCTGTCTCTGTCTCTGTCTGTCTGTATGTCTATGTTTGTGTTTGTGTGTGTGTGCTTATATGATTCATTGTTTGACAGCTTGCTTGTTTTGTTTGCTCGTGCGTGTTTGTCTGTGTCATTGTTTGTTGCTTCCCGTGTTTGTGTTTGTGTGTGTGCGCGTGTCTGTATGTGCCTATGTTGGCTAGCTAGTTTGGCTTGCTTGTTTGTTTCTGTTCGTGGGTGTGAGTGGGTTTGTGATTTTGTGTGGTGTGTGGTTGTGTTTGTGTGCGTGCTTGATTGTGTGCTTGCTTGCTTGCTTGCTTGCTTGCGTGCGTGCGTGCGTGCGTGCTTGCTTGCTTGCTTGTTTGTCTGTCTGGTTGTCGGTTTTCTTTTTGTTTGTGCGGGTGTCATTGCCTGTCTGCTTCTCTATCCGTCTGTCCGTCCGTCCGTCCATTCGTCCCTTCGTCCATTCGTGTCTGTCTGTCTGTCGGTCTGTCTGTCGGTCGGTCTGTCTGTCTGTCTGTCTGTCTCAAAACATATATGTTTGTGTTTGTGTGGTTGCGTGCTTATATGCTTCAGTATTTGATTGTTGCTTTTAGTTGCTCGTGTGTGTGCGTGCTGTGTTTGCATGTTTATTTGTTTGTGAGTTCGTGTGTTGTGTGCTTGTGTGACTGTGTGTCTGATCTGTATGGTTGTGTGCTAGTTTGGATTGAGTGTTTGTATCTGTGCATCTGTGTATCTGTGTCCGTGTGTGTGTGTGGGGTGTTTGCGTGTGTGTGCGTTATTGTGCTTCGTTTATGTGTGTCTTTATGTTTGTTGTTTCTTTCTTTATCTGTTTCTTTCTTTGTTCTTGTTTTCATTGTTCGTTGGTTCGTTCGTGTTGTGTTTGTTTGATCGATTGTGCTTTGTGTAAAACCCCTGTCAAACAACATGTCTCATGGAACGCGGTTGCTCAGTTGATGCTGAGGGCATGTTGACTGAGCATAAGGCCAGAACCGTCCTCCGCATCTTCGCAGGACAATTATCATTGCCAAAGAATGAATGTGCGCCAATATTGCCACCAGATACCAATAGGGCCTGCCCATTGACCATATCTCATGCACTGAAGGGCTAAAGAACAGCAAGCGAAAGGCTGGCCTGCAATAGGCAAGGCCCTCCTCAACATGTCTATTCACACTGGTCATGGTAGCTGAGAAGCAAACTCAGCGGCTAAGATTTCCGAAAAGTGCTTGCAATACAAAAACCACAGTGTCGCGGCGCCCCGACCCAAAACGTGCGAAGAAGATGTGTTCCGGGCAACCACACCTACCTCTCACGCCACAGCAAAGCATTTGCTGAGTGCTGGGTCAGGGCTTTTGCCCATGGACAAAACGGCGAAAGGCGAAGGCTCTTTGGACCCGGCTGGTCTGCAGAGGCCTCACCTTAAATGCTCAAGCCTCACAATGTGAGTAGTTATGAATGTATTTAGGGCCTCTTTGGAAGACGTGGCTTATATACATAGGGATGTCTGTCCAAAAACTGCTTTGGACGATGCTCCCGAATAAGAATCATAGCCATGTCCTGTCAGCTTCTGCTTTTTGGCCTCTCCCCGGGGTCCAACTCTTCTGTAAGCCTGTCAAACCCCTTTCCCGAGAACAAACAAATGCAAGGGACTCCCTCAGACTAGCACGGAAGTTCTCTCTAAATGGAACCCAGTCTTGCAAAGGAGTCCGACCAAGGCCTCCATGTTCGCTTGAGGGAGGAATTGGCTTCCGTCCTCCCCTTCCCTTCCGTCTCGATCGGCACTCCTCAGGCACCACCAGGGTCCTCCCGCGGAAGCCTGGCCGAAACGGGTAAGCCTCAAGCCGTACACTTCTTGGTGCGAAAGGCAGGGAATGAGTTGGAATGAACCACCAGTTGGATGGTTTGTAGGGGTCATTCCATTTCTCATTATCTGCTGAGCACCAGCAAGACTTGTCCAGTGGGCCTGGAAATGCAAGGCGTCCACCCACCTTGAAGCTAAGGGTAACGGGCCTGGGAACCTTACCAGGGTGTAGCTGAACGACTGACTGTCCAATCCTCCAAACATATGTGAGCATGCTGCGCAGATTCAACAGCCGAACTTTGAACTTGACCCTAAACTTCAAGGATGCGGCGAGCAAGCACAAACACACAATAGAAACCAACCTTAGGAAGCACATCTATTTGCCAACGTAGACAGATCTATTCATGGAGTGCCTGTGAATGTCACAGCAATGTTGACTCAACAAAAAGAGAAATACCCTTGTGACCAAACCTCGACCTTCTCAGATGACAGGCCAGGCCAGAAGCATATCAAACTGCTTGGGCCTTTAACACAAAAGATGGCAAACAGTTTTCCAACTGACCTTCCGACGAATCCACCAGCAGGCCAAGTTAGGAACTGCTTAGGCTAATAGGTAGCCTTCTTTTAAGTCTCAGTGGAGTTAGCCATAACCAAGACGACGACCCTCAGCACCTACTAACTTGGCTAAACATGTGTCACGCGAATGCAGCCCTCAGGCCGTGTAGCAAAGGTGAGCCATGCACTCTGGATTACATCTCTGAATCTGGACAAGACAAATGCGGAAGGCAGTCCAAAATCAGTCCGAAGGGGGTTCTATAAACTATCACAGAGGCCGCCCGGAACGAAGGCTCCCCAAGGGACCAAACGATTTATGGTCGTTGGATCAGTCCAGAAATAGAAATGATGATGATATGGCTGTGGCTGTCAAAACCAATCTGTACCCTGGTGAACATCAAAATAGATGGCAACTGGGATGTTCATCCACCCCAAAATGGAGCCATAGGTTATGACCCATGGCCATATATAAATTCACCTGGATGTGAAAAGCAAAGGTCACAAGGTTAAAAAAAGGAGAAAAAAAAAAAAAAAACGCTCTGAGAACATGCCAAGCAACCAATGCCGCGCGTGGTCTGCAGAGCACGGAGCACTCCAGAGGTTAGCGCAACCTGCAAGAATCTCGGCCAGACTGGGCCCCGACAAAGTGGCATTTTCTCAAAGGAAATAAATAGCACATATGGCTGTGGGTCAGAACCAATGGTGCCATTTTGGGGCAGGTGCACCACCTATTTTAGTCTATTTTAGTTGGGATTGGGATGTTCATGGGGGGTACGGGATTTTGACCCATGGCCATATCAAAAACATGTAAACATGGGTGTAAGCGACTTGTGGCAATTGAGCGACTCTATAAACCTCCCATGAATCCCTATGTCGTATCAAGTTGCTTACGCGCAAGCTTGCGCTTTCCTTACGCGACCCATGTTTTAGCTTACGCGGCAGTCAGACAGCATGTAAAGCTTACGCATCGCTTACGCGTCGGCGTTTTGAGCGTTTCCCCTCAAGAATTGCTTACGCGGGCTTCTTTTCCCGTGCAGCCGCCAGAGCTGTTGAAGATGATGTGGATGACTGTGTGGAAGAGATGACGAAGAACGGCGCTCGCGAGCTTGAGCAGCTTGGCGTTGTTGTTTTTGCTGCAAATCAAGAAACCGGTTTTTGCGGTAGCGGCATCCATCACGACGGCTAGCGGGCAGCTGAGCTAGGCGAGCTTACGCGAACCTTACGCGCCTGCTTACGCGAGCTTACGCGCCCGCGCCCCTGTAGTTTTCCTAAATCAGCGGCTACTGAAGCCTTTGTTTGTCCTAGTGGAGGTTGCGACAGCACCTAGCATGAGCCCCAAGAGCTCCCAATCAAAGTTATGCTTGTTGTTTTTTCCCCTAATGGTGCGCACATGCGGTCTTAGACGTCTTCTTGCAGGCAAAGTCCTCCGGGCAAGTTGCCAAGCTCGGCTAGGTTGCAACAGCACAAGCCACCAAAAAACGCATAAGCACATGTGGGACAACTCCTCCGAGCATGCTTACAAAGCTTACCAAGCAATCACGAAGAAGAGCTTACGCAGGTGCTTACGCAACATGTTTCCCCAAAAAGTGCTTACGCCCGCTTACGCCGTGCAGGCTTTTGCTTACGCGGGGCCTTGTTATGACACAACTCTTGCTTGGCATGTAACGGGGGGTTTTTAGAGCTGCTCAATTGAACGAGGGAACGGTGACAGCTGGCCAATGGATGTCGACTTCATCTGGATGCTCTGCTTTTTGGTCTGGCATCTTGAGTGCATTTCCGGGTGGGTCCCCAGCCTTCCAAACAGCTCCTCGTGACATGGCATCTAAGGGATGCTCCCAAACAGACCCCGGCGAATGTCAAAGCCAAGGGCTTGTTCCCACACGAAATGCGGGGACAAATTGGGAAGGTCAACTTCGAATTCATCCAGACCCGAGTCAGAGGACCCCCCGAACCAAAGGACAGTCATTTTCTGGGGTAACGACCGCGAATTACGGTCCGGATTAGTCTGAAGCTAAGACTACCTCCAAACCATGGCCAAGTGTAGATGTTGCAGAAACTGGAGAAATGAATTTTGAGTTGTTCTGCTTGATCCAAACCCAAGAAACGAAGCTTTCTCATGGGGCTTTAGGTCGCACACCAAATGGATTTGTGTGGTCGTAACTAAATTTACCCATTGTATACAGTCCTGGGAGTCCTGCGCACATTCCTGAGCCTATTCGAAATCTAGATTGCTCCCAGAATTGCCATGGACAATTTGAGTGAGTCCCCCGCATGTTGGGAGAGATCCTAGCGCGTGACTCCATGTCCATCCCAAACCAAAGCGGCTAAAGGGGGTCTGGAAGACCATTCTCATTTTGACGCATGTTTGTGACCAGGAGGAGCCTGAGTTGGATCGGATTCTCGAGCCCTGCCTCCGGCTTCAGCTTCGGAAGAAGCTTCTGCAGACTCTTTGCCTCTACTTGGGTGTGTCTTGCTTTGGGTTCCCCCGTGGTGTTCCTTCTGGTATCCCTTCAAAACCACAACGAAGGGTTACTCACGAAAAAAAAGGACACACCCACTTGCGCCCTTCCGCCAGCTTAGCAAGTTGGTCAGGGCTCTGCTCTCACATCGAAGCTTACTCTATGCAAACTGGCCATACACTCAGGGCACTGACAACATGTTGATCAGCCATGACCTTGAGAATCGACCGCGAATAAACCACCTCAAGAAAATTGAGAACGTACATACGTGTCCACATCTCAGCGTAAGGTTCTACACCCACAGCAACATAGGATGTGCCACAGGTTTGTGAATGGCCGCACAGAAAGTTGCTTCTTTAGCCATGGACAGCCATCGATTCAAACTGAAAGGTGCAAGACACACTAGCTCTTCAAGGCTCCATAGCTCCCAGCAGAAATTGGAATCGCTCACACTTATCCAATAAGGCAATTCTTAAAGAATACCCCAAATCAGGAGCCGCATATGCTTACCAAGGGGTGTTCCTTTGGAAATCAACCACTGGATTTGAGCCTGCCCAACTGAGCCATGTCCTAACCATGTCATGATTTGCTGCGTCTCTCGTATCATTTTCTTTGCGCCACCAGCTTACGCCACCTTCCGCGCGTGGCGTTTTGCTTATGCCACACATGAGGAGATTGTGCTTGCGCCACGACGCTGCTGAAATGAAATCCTGACCCTCATCGACAGGTAGCTAGCCCCCGCGCATTATCTCTCTCTCTCTCTCTCAACCCAGGGTTGGCGGATTTGTTCTGGTGTTTCGGGTCGGGTTGTGGGTTTGTGTGTGGCTGTGTCAACGGCCTCGAGGCTGCAGATTGGGAAACAAGGGGAGGGGTGGCTTAGAGAAGGTTGGAACCTATGATCCTCTTGCGGGTGCGATAGGTAGGGAATGACCAAGTCCTGGTTTTGGGAATGAACCGGAAGGGGGATTCCCTTAAAGGGCACTACAGGGGACGGTTTTTGGCATCATTCCAACTCATCCCCTACCTATCGAACCAGCAAGTCCTTTCCCTCTCTCCGGGTCGATCTGCCTGGCGCCATCCTCTCTTGGTCAGCTTTGTGTCTTGCTTCAGCCTGGGTCACTGGGCTCAACCAACTCGACTTCCCCCTTGGGCGGGTTCAAACACCACATAGATTACAGTTCCGTTCCTTTTAGCGAGCAATTGATGCGGCGAAGGGAGCGCTTGACCTGTTGGGTGGGTTGAGGTGATGTCAAAACAAGTCTGCAGTTAAATTGTGTTTGAACCCACGAATTCCCATCAATGTCCAAATGGCCGCCCGGAATATAGACAGGCGAGGACACATTGCAGCACCTTGACCAACATCAAGCAACGTGGGACAACCAATGCCTTGGGGCAGGTGAGAGAACACGTTGCGGGGTTCACAACTAAGTTGTCAGGACACTGCCGAGCCACAAGAACTTCTTTTGCACGTTATGCTGAGCCTGGCGCGCTGCTCAAGGGAATCATCGAGGAGTTTCACTACCCGGCCACTACACAATGGTGGACCTGAACCCTCAAACTGACTAAAAGGGGAAACCGCCCCACAACTTCCGGCAACAACAAGTTGTTCAGGGAGTCTTGGGCAGTTTTGGGGGTCCAGGTATACCACTGTATGGCGATGTGAGAGACTCTTACCGTATTCTCCCGTAGCGGCCCGGGGGCAAATCCCCCAAAAGCAGTAGTTGAAGGCCGAACGACTCCAGCGAGCTCATCAACCCATGCGCAATCAACATCCTCTTGCACAACATGGCTCTGCTCGCCATAAGAAGTGACAAACAGTTGCTTGACAGGCGCACTGAACTGCGCGCCTGGAACGAACCACTTTGGTTGCTCCAGTAGGTGTGACTAATTGTGAAAATCGGATAAAGAGTCTTGACAAAAAACGGCAACCTGGCTGTGAATCCGTAGAAACTTCCTGATCTGTAAGACCCCCTTGAATGACTCTTGACATGTCAGGAAATCAAAAACAAATCCAGGCACGAGCTGAAAATCCTCAAAGCCCAACAAACCATTCGGCAAACTGAAGAGAACACACAGGATGCCAAGGGTGAGCGCAACTGGGTCATGATGAATCTCAGGTGGGATCTCTGCGATTCCATGATGCCTGGATGAGAGTAGACACGGGTCACATGTGCCTTCCTATCATACCCAGACTTCCCAACCCACCGTTCTATATATGCTGGCAAAACACGTGTTTGTTGGCAGCACTATCACGCAAAACCAGAAGTGGGGCCGCAAAACATCAAACACAATTTGCTGGCTTTCTTTCAGGGATATTGAACATTGGCTTTTGGACGCTCGGTTGAACAAACACACACACACAGCCACACACACACAGCCACACACACACACACACACACACACTCCCAAATTCTCCGGGACACCCCCCAGCCCCCCGCTCCCCCCCGCTCGTCCAACCAAAACCCTCCGGCTCGGAAAACAAAAAAAAGACCCCCTCCTCTCCCCCCCCTCCCCCCCTCCCCTCCCACCAAACCCTTCGGCTCGGAACAAAAAAAAATCGCCTCACCATGACGGATGACGTGCACCAGCTTGGCCTGAAAGAGGGACAGCCAACGCTTCCGGCCAAAATGTCAACTTCGGATTCCGGTGGCCCCTAAATCAGAGGAACCCCCCCCCCTCCCAACCAAAAAAAGGGTATCAGTTCACTCCACATTGCGCAGGGCTGTCAATGTCTGGGAACATTGGCAAAAAGGGCCACTGTACAACTGAGACCAACGACCCAAAACTTGCATATGTATAACTCCAAAAAGTATCCCGTACTTTTGTGCGGTCTGATTTCATTCGAAGCAAACATACTTCCAGAACTCTAGTCAGTGGAACAAAACATCACCAAATAAGGAATATTCATGAGCTCGAGTTACCACAACGTAAGGTCGTAACTCGCTGTGTAAAGCTTTGAATCTGTTGATGAACATGTTTGCCCATGTAATGCATTTGTGGTAATACATCGATCATGATATTAACCTTCATCATTTTTGGGAAGGGCATGATTTAGGTCATCATTACAGCGAGGAGCATGCCATTGGGTAAATGAACAGCCGGAGCCTTCTGCATTTCGCCATCTCTGGGCTCAGGCCTCGATATCTTCACTTCCAGGAAATCTTTGGCGTCCCAAAACAGTTTGTTTTTTTTTTTGTGAAAGTCTCAGGCCTTGCTTGTGTACCCCAACCAAGAAGCTCGGGAAGTAGCAGGAGTCAGGGCTTTCGACAAGCCAGCACCCCTCCCGCCAAAACCCCCCAGCCACCCGCCACCACCCCCCCCACCCCCCTCACCCCCACCCCCCTCACCCCCCCCACCCTCACACCCCCCCCCCCCCCCCCCCCCCCCCCGCCCCCCCCCCCCAACCACCCACATAGCCGGGTGAATGCGGGCGCCTGAGCCTTGGCCTTCAGCTTGGCTCGCTTCAGCAGCACCATCGCAGCTGACAGAGGCCAGCTGGCTTTGAGCCACGCGCTATCACGCGCTCGAAAATACCCCCCCGAAGGAGCGGTGTACCCGGTTTCCTCACTGCCCGTGCCTTTTTGAAGCCATGTCTTTTGGGGGAGGAGTCCCATGGAAAAACAACGAGTGTGACTCTGTTTCTGCTGGGGTACCAAAGGAAACTCAAAACGAAAAGCAGTCAGCTGAAACATATGGGGGGGGTACCTAGATGATCAATGCCCTCTTCCCAGAGCCCGTGCAGCTGCCACATAAGAGGTTTCGACCTAGACTTCGGGGTTAGCCATCGTGTTTGTGAGGGCCAGCGCCCCTTTGTGAGCGTCACCCGCTCTTTTCGTTGAGGGCATCCCTTTGTGTCCATGAAACCAAAAGGAAAACGCCTGGTTCACGGGTTCATCATAAGACACAACCAGATGCATGTCCTGCATAGAAAAAAACATACAAAAAAAAACATTCCAAGTTCTGGGCGGTAAAATCGGGCCTGGGACAGGTTCCGGATCATGCAACCAATGATGCCACTTGGCAGAAAGCCCATCCTCTCATTCCTGCATCTCCGCCCTGGATGAAACAAAACGAGCATTCATTGAAACAAAACTGAGCTTGTGCCCAAGTGGCTTTCCCCTTGGTTTCCCACCAAAACGCGAACACCCAAGTGCCATGGTCATACAACCGCTTTGGGGTTGGTAGGGGGAGGGCTGCAACGAGCCGCGGGCACCCCTTCCCAACCCGTCAAAACAGATTGTTGCAGCCCACGAACTACCACACATCCCCAGACACGAAAAGACAACTCCACCTTCCAAATGAAACATGACACCTTTAAAGAATCGAAAAGGAGACATGTTTGTCACAGATAAGAAAGCCCATCGGTGCCAAGTGCTTGCAAGTCTCCTTGAAATCAAAGCACAACGTGCGCCCGAACTGGGTCCGCCCAGTGCAAAGGAAATCCGAGACCTGGATATTTTTGGAACCTGAGGGTGGCTTTTCAAGGGACCCACTAGTCAGGCTCAAGGACCTTGAGTGTGTACTGGTACAAAGATATTCCCATTCAAGTGTATCTGAAAACGAGCTCTTCTCGTCTGCTGCCCGTCCTGCGACAGTTCAACACCTGCGGGCAGCGTGACTATTGAAATGGTCGAATCATTCGAGCGAAAACGGACCATTGGGAACAACTTTCAACAACACACCGACTGGTTCAAAACCCAACAACTGAAATCATGCTTTGGGTATTTGACAGGATCTACACAAAACTATCTAAGCCACAAAACGGTGAGGACGCCTATTCAGGGCTAAGACTGTCTCTCACTAGTCACTAACGTTCATGTACCTCACAAACAAATATAATAAACATGTCGAACTCAAATTTGGTAGTCGAACATGTCAGGAGAACAAGCATGAGTGTTGAATCAACCCACCTGCTCAGCACTCCTGGATCACGCTTCTGCAGGTCTGCACCCCAAAGCGACCCGGCCCCTCATTTCTCGTTGTCTTGTCCCATGCAGATGTATTGGCATGCCCTGGGCGCTTTCCTTTCACCAAGGCAACCCCTTGAACGAAGCGCTGTTGATGTCTTGAGTGCGACACACGTTAACAACACATCACTCCATTTGGGCCAAACGCCCCTGTTCTTGTGTGGAGCATTTCTGAGTCAAGCTGAGCAGACAGCCGGGTCTGAGAAGGATGCAGAGGAGGTAACCGTGGGGGCGGGCAAAAACACAGAAACAAGCTGAAGCCAAGCTAGAAGCTCTGCAAACGTGAACAGCTCCCAATACGGCTGCCATACCAGAGCTGGCCGCAAAACATGCCTTGGCCCCAGGATGTCCGCATTCAGTGTGAAGGACCATCCGCACTCCACAGCTCTTTGGGCTTTCCGCGCGGGGAAATGTGGGCCCAACGACGCAACTTGCGCAATGAGTAACTCGGTCGGCGAGCACTGCGTGCACTGCAGCATCTCCCTAGCGTCAGCAAAGCAGCGCCACAGTACTCAATGGCAAAGCGGCACACAGAGACGGAGATCGTTCTTGTCAGGCTGTTGGCAGGATGTCAAAAAGACAATGCTTATTTGCAATCAATCACTGACAACCGACCTAGTTCGCCCGCATGTTGGTCGCTACCTCGTGCACAACTCTTCAAGCGGGAACATTAAGGTGACCCACCTTGTGGAATTGCACTACCAGTGCTGCGGAAGGGAGAACCCACGTGGCAAACATCTTTCGGGAGCAAGGAGGAACAAGGCAGGGCGAGGGCAAAAAGATGCTCTCCACATGCCAGTTTGCAGATTGGATTCTACCCGCAACACCACTACCTAGCACAAAGCACACCTCCGCACCCCGAACAAACTCCAAATGCCCACCGGAAAATATTTTTCGGGCCGGGAGCATGGGGGGAAGGACCCTGTACGGGGCGGTGCAGCCAAACAAGCCAAACCAACGCATACGGACCGAACCAATGGCATCCGCCAAGCGCTGGAACCAAAGGAAACATGCGCCCTGTATCCCACTTGAAGGTTGTTCTTGACAATGTTCATGTTCAGCAACCGGCATCCAAAGGCCCTTGGAACAAAAAGATGACGTAGTGACTAGTGATCCAATTGATGGTGTGTCTTTCTCTTGGAGTGGCCTTTTTGTTTTTGATGAACAGCTTGCAGAGAATCTCATGGCAACAAACCTGCAGCCGCGTTTAGGCCTTGAAGGCTGGCTTCCTCCTTCTCCTCAGCTCGCTTCGCGTGATCTCGACCCATGTTTTCCGCTGCCGGCAACCTACGACTGCTTGTTCCCATGTCCAAAGCCCTGAATGTGCAAAAGCCGTCGTTGGGGGCCTAGTTAAGTTATATCTTTTGTCAGAATTGTAACTGATTCATGCACAGACACAGACACAGGCACAACCACAGAAACAACAAAGCACACACAGACACACACACAGAGACACAGAGACACACATAACACACACACACACACATTCAGTGGCGAGTTGTTTGTTGCATCCCCAGTGACAACGCTATGAATGCCAAACGGACGGCAGTATCTCTGAGAAGTCTGGCCCAGCAATGTTGGGCAAACTATCCATGGACTGTGCCAAAGGATCCGCGCGAAACATGGCAGGATGTTCTCAAATTGCTCCCCCTGCTTTGGGATGCTATATAAAAGAGGGAAACTACAAGGCAACCAAATAAACATCCGTTTTACAAGGCCTGATTTGTATTGTAGGAAAACCATTCTTCAGTTCTCCAGCGCTCGCCCAACTTGCTTTGTGAACTGATCCTGTGAAGCATTCCAAGAAAGGAAACCGCTGCCCAAAATGGGCTCTGTGCGCGGTTCGAGACAATTCGGCTGACCGGTCTCATGTTCACATCGATCTCAAAAGGTGCATCGATCTCAAAAGGTGACACTATTATCTGACTTCCTTTCATCCCATGAAGTATCATCTCGAAGGTGCAGCTGTCGGAAGCATCAATGTGTCTTCACGCAGGTTGACAAAGGTAGAAGCCAAACAACATTCCCAATAGAGCACACAATAAACTTCAGATGCAGGACACACCAATCAAAAGCAGTTCTTGTAAACGGCAAACCAGCTACCGTCCAGGGCCTGCACACTGCCCGAATACGGCTGTCTGTCAAAGGACCACCCACCCTCACAATGGTCCCTCAACGAGTCAAGCGCACTTGCCGTACAGTCCTAAGGTTGGTGACTCACACAGCTAAGCAGCAAGCTACTTACATGGTCCAGAAGTTTGCTCCCAGTTAAACTCACTTCCTGAGTGGATGGCTCCAAACTTTTAGTTTGACACTAAAATGATTCAAACCCAAAAAGTGGCTAAAGTCCAACTCAGGAAGTGAGTACAATCGCAGACCATCCGAGAAGAACCCCAGCTTCCCGCGCAGTGCCGCCAAAGCTCGCTCTTGGATCTCCCCATGGGCGTGCTGCTAAGCACGCTTGCCCTCGCGCACAGGCAGGGGTCATGTCAATTTGGGTATGTGTCAAGATAGGGGAATTCCCCATGTGAGTTTTGCTTTTCCCTGGAAACCAGATTAAAAGCGGCGCCCGCAAAAAGATACGCACGTACACGTGCACACACACACACACAAATACGGACACCCCCATTTGCCTGCCTTCACAACATCACTAGGTATGATATGTCATTTGCAGTAAATTAGGGATGTGGATCCATGAGTTTTGGTCCTTTGTTGGTGATTTCGGACGACCCTACAACCAATCCCAACTCAAGCTTCCAAAAGCCACTGCCAAAACTAGCCGCACACCTATCACGCAGCAGCTCGAGTAACCCTATCACACAGCAGCTCGAGTTGCCTTTATTAACATTTCAGCAAGCCCAAAACTCACAAGAAGCTAAACCCACACAACTCTCAACTGCCACCAAATCAGAGCCAATAGGCGGCCGGCGATGGGGATGCGGCCAACTAACCAGCCAACCACCCAACCAGAGTTGGACCCCCCCCTAGCAAAAAAGAAGCACCCGTTCCGCCTGACTTGGATCAATTAAAGTGTCCAAAGTCGAAGAAACTGGGAACTATGGAAACGTGGGGTTGCTACCTTATTCGGTACCTGGCACCAGGGGATGGCTATAACTTTCACCGGCCGACTTTTGTGTGGTCAAATCCAGGCTTACTCGGCCTTTCATGGGAGCCCAGGTCACCCATCGTGCAAACTGAGATCCCATTGTTCAACCGCATAACCCAAAGTCTCATGGCCTGTGTTCCCAAACCATGGGGACACGAGACTCGTCTCACTTTCCAAGTAGCTTGGCCAGGTCAAAAGAAACAAGCATGTTTACCACAAACTAGGCATGATTGTTTGTGAGGGGCCCGACATGCTGGACATCATTCAGGGATTCTTGTCCACCAACCATTTTCGAGGTGGTTCCTAGTTAAAACTCATGACCATATGGCTTTCCCCAAGAAAAACTGAGCTCATGGATCCCCGGTGCGCCTCGCGTTGGCCATGGCCAGCTCAGGTTTGAAAA